AACACAGAAGGTTCTCTACCCTTTGGAAAACTTCACTGATGCTAATGCAGTTGCATCAGTGATGGATTTACCCCACTTTTCCGTAGTACTTAAACAGGAGCATGTGGGTGGATAATGAACATTGGAAAAGACACGCAGGTTCTTGATTCTGCAATTCAAAGACTTTTCATAGAGTATGTGACTCACATTCCTTGTGCATAGCACAGAATGAAATTCTGCTTAAGTAAAAGGTTACTCAGTCTGTCATTATATTCAAAATAACCCAGGCTTTGAGCCTGATTCATGAAGCAAATGACAAATTGTTTTTCAATGGCAGTGCTGAAAATATCCTAGTATTATGCTGTAATAGACCCACCAAATTGCAAAAGGATGCAGCCATTTTAGGTAAAAATAGCATAATTTCTGATCGTGAAATGAGAGACATAAAGATTAATTATCTGTTCTGAGCCATTCATAAATGATTAGTGCAGCAATTATGGGCTTCCATAATAGAGCCCTCCTAGAGCAGTGCCATATTTCCTGCATTACCAGGGAGACTGCTCAGATTTATTGTTATTGATAAAAGTAAATTTGAAGTTCAGCTAAAAATCTGATTAAGGGAAAATTGCACAGACAGGAACAGGCACAAAGACTTCCAAGGGTTAATAGAGGAACTGCATAAACAGGTAGCATTCCCTCCCTCTCCTATCCCACAGCAGTCACTTGGGTGGGTGAACTTCTGGAAACCAGACATCTTGTGACAAGGATAATGCTGCCTTATACCTTATTACTTATTCTCATAATAAAAATGGACTCTTGGTTTGATTAGAGTTTGTTGTCAGTTGATTATTTGTTGGCATTATTGATTTTACTTCCAAGTTTTTTAGCCTACAGTAATAATAACTATCAGAAAACAACAAAGTATCTGCTTTGAGTTTGAACAGTGCTTTGAAAATCCATGTTTTGCTATTTGATGTAAAATTCAGGCTAGTTGTTGCACGGATATATCAAATATGTAGCAGCTCTTCAGCCACAGTCAGCCCAGTTTGAGCCTTCCACACTTTTAGTTTCCTAGATAATAGTTTTGTTGACGTGAAGATGACTTTTTTTCTGCTTTGTTGGATGTTTTCTGTGTATGCATGAGAGTTCTTCTCAAACACTGCATTTGCTCACTGACCAAAAAATAGCATTCAGAATACCAAATTATACAGTGGGTTTGTTTATTGGCATATACCAGCTTGCATTTCAAGCAGTTTCTCTGAAAGGCTACATGCATTTTCCACACTTACCAGGGAACTGACACATAAGCTGAAAAGAAGACAAACAGATTCCAGTCATACACATGGTCTTTAAAGTTTACCAATATTGACTAGTTAATACCCACTGTTTGCCTACTGAAAAGATTCCTGCTTAGTTCATAAACTTCTCAGAGTAATAGCCTTAGGAGCTCTGCATTAATAATACCGAAAAATAAGGATTAAGGAAAAGACAGCTTTTGCTTAAATATCTTGTTTGATTGCTATCTAAACCCTTGCATTGCTGACCTATTCCATTGCCTACATAAAAGTGAGGTTATTGTGTCTGTGGCTGAGTTATACATGGACACTGAAGATGAGATAAAATCAGATACTGAGCCAGGCACATTGATAAAGGTTGGAGACTGCTGAGCTGCAGTGAGTTATGAAAACCACAGATTCATCTGAGTTACCAAATAAATTAATTAGCCAACACATCTTCACCATAAGAGGTTCCATTTTGACATCCCTCTTTTGAGAGGAGTTCAGTTTTTCTGATTTTTGCGGGTTTGTTTGCTTTGAGCATGATACCTGGTTCACACATGGATGCTGCAGTTGATGCTGGGTTTTGTTGAAACTGCAGCACCGTGTAGGGTCTTCCCAGCTCCAAGGACTTGCTGTGTGGAGCTGACTGAAGAAATGCTGCTGATACCAACACAATGCTGTGCTTCTCCTGGTGTGGGTGCTGTAATCAACTGAAGACCACAGACCCTAAGCAGAGGATAAAATAGAAAGTTGTAACTACAGCACTGATGCTTCCCGGAGTCAGAATCATAGCTCTGCTTTTGTTATGTCATCTGAGTAATTGTCAACATGAGCAGATTGTTCTTGCTTTAAAGACTCAGAGATGTGATTCACTGTGAAGTTCACATTTCAGGTGTTAGAGTGAAGCCACTTGAATGAGTTGTAAAGTAAGTGTTAGAGTTCCCAGCACTGGGGATGCTTTGGAGATATTGTTTATTTAACAAGTCATTCCAACAGAACAAGGTGATTTGCAGTTCTGGTAATATGTTGTTTTTATTTGACTAGTGACTTTCCCAACCATACTGCAAAGCAAGAGTGTGCATGCTAAATACAATAACTTCATTTGTTCTTTTTTCCTTTTTTTTTTTGTATCTTATCTAATCTTTCCCTAGGTAAAAGTGATCCTTGCTGTGTATTAGAGCTGGGAAACGACAGTCTTCAAACACACACTGTTTACAAGAACCTCAATCCAGAGTGGAACAAAGTTTTCACATTGTAAGTGGATTCCTTCTGAAGATCTGCTGCAATGCCAGTTAGCAGCTTAACTGTAAAAGCTATCGACTTTGGGAAAATACAAAGGTCAAGTTCAAGATATGTCACTTTTTCTCAGAGAGGATGTTGAAGAAACATCAAATATAACTCAATTAAAGCCTTTTGCCTTTTACTAGTTATTGCGTGGAGTTTATTAATAGAAGTCATTAAAAGAAAAATTACTGTGATATTTATAGGAAGAATCATGACTAGACATAATGGAGTCATAGCTGGATCCAAGAGATAATATAACAAAGTGGAGACCAGATACTCACGCTTACATTTTCCATCTTTTAAAACAAAATATGCTTTATTGAACCATGGTAGAATCCTTGTTTCATTGGTAAGTAAGCAGAAAATTAGAGTTCACGTTGTTTCTGGTATAACTTCTGAATTTAAACCAGGCAACATAGCTTACCCCAAATTAGAAGTTTAGATTTTAATGAAAATTGGAGTATTTTGTTCATAGTTTTAGTGACTTAAATGATCACTTTTGTTATTAATAAGGTATCACTTTTAGGCAGCAAAATGTTTGAATCTTGCTTAATGCTGACAAAGATTTTTGTGAATAACTGAGATAAATGTCTCCAAGAGTGTAGTAGTCTGTGGTGAAGGAGGCAACCACAGGAAGGACACTTTGAGAATGATGGACTTCTTGCAGAAGCAGCATTCATCAATACTGGGCTGGATGTGAACACAAAAGTATCTTATTTCTTTGATAGAAGTACCTTGCTGGATTTCTGTTTCATTCATAGGTACAGCTGAAGACATGTCTCTTGGAGTTCTTTGTTCTCAAAAAGCTTCCTCTCGTCACAGTCTATTCTGAGATTGTGCCAGCAGATGAGTCTTGTCAGATGTTCAGCCAACAAAACAAGTCTAATGAGAATCCAAAAATATTGTATTTAAAAAGAAAGTTTGTGTCTATCCTTCCTGTGGGTCTCAGAAACGTCAGCTATGGACTATCTCTAACTTCCTTTTTGCTGTTGCAGGGCTAGTCCAGGCTCTTGCACCTCTGCTTAGATTTTGGCCATTAAAAAAATTTCAATTAAGCACCTTAAAAGCAATTGATTATTTAGATTTCTTTTGGATCAGAGTGGATTGCCCTGAGTGGATGAATCTATTTCAGGTGGAACATTCAATACCACCAGAGAGCCCTTCCCCATCATATTCAGGTTTTCTGCAACACACTTACCAGTGTGTGTCATGGTGGGGTTTTAATATTTGATACCACTGGTAGCTTTATCATATGGAAAACTGTAATGATCTGGGGAGGAGTATGGAACTATGGAAGTAGCAGGTTTCAATGTATTTTAAAGCCAAAAGGTCTTGAAAATGGTGCATTTCATGGCTCTTTGGTTGCCACTAGGGCCTGGGTCACATCACACGCTAGGGCTGCTACTTGGAGGGCTCTGTGAGCCTCTCTAACTCTTGCATATGGGAAAAGGAAAAGAGGAGATAATGAATGCAACTCAGAAATCATTTCCACCCACCTGTACTTTTGCAGACAGGCAAATACAACTTTTCTCAAATGAGATTGATTCAACAATGATCTGATAAATATTTAGGATCAGGTGCCTGCTGCCACATCAGTAGAGCATTTGCACTGAATGGAACAGAAACATTTTATGTTTTAATTAGGGTTGTTTTTTGTTTTGTTTTTTTTTTGTTGCTTAAAAAAAAAATTAGTTTTGTTAGTGCCTCAAAAAGGGAGATAATTGTTCAATAATTGTTCAAGTCAAATGAGTGACATGAGTTTTGTTTCCTGGATTATTTCTTTTATGTGCTGAAGCCTCGTTTTAGCTTTAGCCCTTGAACTCACCCAATCACTAGCTTTCTCTGTTGGAGAGCTGAGTCTCACACTGCATCAATATCAATGCACAAAAAATGTCTCTTCTGGGTGAAAATCATGAGTAGTTATTTTATTCACCTAGTTATGGGACTGAAACATGAGGGGGAAGCTTGGGGAATACCCATAATTTGATTCATTTTGGGGGGAATTTAATTAAATGCTAGTTTTATACTCTAAGGTATACAAACTTAATTAGTAAAACAGTATTCTCAGATCTTTGTGAAGGAGACTCTGTGTGTATTGACTATTATTTTTTTTTTATGTCTGCACTTTTTGTTCTAGCCCTATTAAAGATATTCATGACGTTCTGGAAGTGACAGTGTTTGATGAAGATGGAGATAAACCCCCTGATTTCCTTGGAAAAGTTGCCATCCCTTTGCTATCTGTAAGTTGCCTTTGCCACATATATCCTTCAAACATTGATGGTTTTTCTGGGAACAAGCTGCATTTCTTTTCCCCATAGCACCATGCAACACAGATTTAGAGATAAACAAGTTTTGTGATCTCTATATGCCTTAGTTGGCAGTGTTTATAGTCCTCCTTAGTGTAAAGAGCATTGCCAACCCGTTTAAGTACAAATCTGGTTGATTGGGAAGAAAATTACAGAAGTGTCTGTATTTCATCAGCACTGTATGCCGGGTAGGTCTGAAACCATAATTGAGTTGTTCTCTGTGTTTCCACATCATCTTTTGAAGGTAACATTGTAAGCATGTCTTTGTTCTATCTTTCTTTTTACTCCAAGAAAGTAATTGCACATCACAGTAGGATTGACTAGAGATAGCTGTTGTTACTGACACAGCTGAATAAAATTACCTAAAAGGGGTGTTTTCTGCTCTGTAATGCTTTTAAAGACTGGTGGTTTTTGTTCTGTAAACAAATATGGGAAGAGTGAGCGCTGCCATGGGAGTAAAAAATCAAAACTGGAAACAAAGCAAGCTCAGGGGAAAGTGGTTGCTTTGGAGATTGAGAGCTGAAGCTTTTTCAGAAATGGCCAAAAAAGGCCAAGCTAAAGAGAGGGGAACATAAAAGGGTCATTAAAATACATTAATAGAGAAATGCATCTTTATGTTTCGTAAGACTGATTTAATTTTGGAACAAGCCTGGTGGTAAGAGTCAGCGAGGTCAAGAGGTTGGAAGCAGCTCCACGTGTATGTGCAGTGTGACAGAAGATTGTAGCAACTTCTGCAGCAAAGTTTGAGAACCCTCTGGGCTGTGACTTTTATTAAATCAATTTCTAGATCAGGCTTGAAATATCACAGGACTTTTGTGATCGTATCAGTCAAGTCATGTAAACGTATTTAGCTGTAAGCATGGGGGGGGGTTCCCTGAGTTTGGAGGCACTGCTGTTTTGCAGGAGGTTCCCTGTGCAGAGGAGAGGGTGTGTCGGGTATTTATGCAGGGAGTTGTGTTGAGCCCTGTGCAAACAGTCATGTTTGCAAGATATACCATGAACCAAGCCACGCATGCAGTAGTGAGATACTTTTGGGCAATGCCCGGTGTGATGCTAGGCAGGTGGTGAACCCTGTTTGACATCATAGAGGACGAAATTGCAGTATTGTTTTGAAACATCCTTGTGAGAGCATATTCACCCCTTCAGAAAGGCTGACACACATCTTTCCTGGCTAGGGCAAGAATTTCTCTTGGAGTTCTAGAGCTGTGCTGCTGCAGGAAAGGCAGTATTGCAATAATGGGATAGTGAGGCTCTGTCCTGACAAAGACTGGAGAAACAAGAGGCTTCTAGAGAGGGTGCAAAAGTCCATTCTGGTCTAAACAGGCCACATATGCCCCACAGAGTCAGCACAGTTTAGGTATGGGACCAGTTGAGATCAGAGAGGGGAACTGCAAATATTTGACGTTTCCAAATAAATAATGAACTGCCTGGCAAACTCTTGAACTGGCCTAGAGGATATGGTCCCAAGCTAAGGAATGCTTTCTAGTGGTAAAGAAATAGGCCACTGTGCTCCAGTTTTGTTATTATTTTGTCTAAATAAGTGTATTTCTTATATATGCAAATTAAAAGCAATGTGGATTCTGAATCTCTTCATTAAAGTGTTTGTTTTCATCCACCATGTGCTCTTTCCAAGTTATGCTGGAGTGAAGAATAGAGGAACCCCTGCAATTTGGGGATGTAAAGAGCCTAGGCTATAGAAGCTGAGGAGTAACTACTGAGGTCTTGTTGCCCCACACCCTGTCCTGTGCTTTGCCATCCTCCCTCTTCTGTGTCTCAGACTGCAATTTCTTTTTGAAGCCGGGAATATTTTAGCTTGTTTGTCTATTTTAGTGCCTTGAGTTGCCAATATCTCCAGTTTTAGAACAATATTAGAGTCAGTTGGGCAGGGAGGATGATTTGATGTTTACAGGGAGGAAAAAACCTCTTAACATCTTTTATTCCATTTTCGATCACTTGGTTAATTTGTCCCCAAGTCCTCGTATCTCTGATGTTACTGGAAGAGAGTGGCTGGAGCAGCTGCTCTCCTGCAGACCCAGTGCTTGCCAAATGGTCTGCATGATGGGCAGCAGGCTGTGTGGGCTCACAGTGAGATGAGGTTAGATTTGGATTTTCTGTTGATTTTATAGGCATTTGTCAAGTATCCCTCAGGAAGCATGTAACAAGGCAGAGGAGGGGAGTGCGTGTGTGTGGCAATGTTCAAACCATTCTGCGTAGGTTTTTTTTGTTCAAGGTTTGAGACAAAAAAAAGAATAAAATAAAAATTGTTTATGCTTTCCCTTGCCAACTGATCCTCTTCCTTTCCATCCAAACTTCTCTGCCTCCTATTTCAGTCAAATCTAGTGTAAATATATTCGTCTCTGCATCTGATTAAAAACCATTTTGTACCTATTAAGTTAGTCTGCGCAGAGAACTGTAATTTTCTAATCTCTTTTTCTTGAAATGAGAATTTCTGTGTATATTGTCATTTTTTACTATAAATTTGAATGTATCCTTTGAACCATTTAGATAAATATGCTGAAAGAGAACAATAGTTAAAGACTCCAGGAAGCTTTGTAAACCATATAGGTTTAATATCTCTAGGTAATCAGGCCTAATATTTGCCTTGCATCAAATTCTCTTTTGAAAATTGAAGTATGTTTGCCTTTTTTTTTTTTTCCTGTTAAAAATGCACTAGTTTGACTTGTGAGCTGTCAGCACGTGAAGTAAGTTTACTTCAGGAATTGTTCATGGATGACTAGATTATTCTTTTAATGAAAAATTGCCTTGAATGAAGTATATGTTGGCAGGGCATGAAATGCTTAATTAATTTGACAACAAATTTTGGTTGGAATGTGTTCAGGAGTCTTAAACTGGCATTTTGCAAACGCGTGCACACCCTCATCACATTAACATGAACACACACATAACCTTGCTGCACAAAAAAAATGAGAGGTGGTGGAATTCCTTATGCTTTACATTGATCCTTGGCTGTTATCTAGGCTTATTGCAGGCACTGCATGAGGAAAAAAAAAAAAGTTGGGCAGTTATGAGATGGGTTTTAAAGAGTCAGATGATTAATAAAGCTGAAAACTTCATGTCCTTTTGATAGGCATGATGAAGCAATATTGGGTGCCTACCCAATTTGCTTTATTTCTTATACAGCTCCATTAATAATGCACTGTTCAGACATTGATTTGGACAGCAATACACTGAATTTGGAATTTTCTCTGTTTGTGGGTAGGTGGGGAACAGAGGGAGAGAAGTGGTTATTTGTGTGCATTTTGTCTTTAGCTTTTTGCATGTTAATCCACCTATTGTATTTGTTTTTGTACTGCCAATCTTTACATCAAACTGCTGTCCTCTAAAGCACAAATGAGAAAAGTAAACTGAAATGCAGCTCTGGTCTGCCAGGTCTGCCACATTCACAGAAAAGGAATTTGAATTGAAGACACAGATTAGTGCTACCAGTTTATTCAGGAAAACAGATCACTCACTTGCCAGAGGTGACCTAGAGAATCTAGCTTGCCCAGCCTTTGGGCTGGGATGGGTGTTGCTCACTCAGAGTCTGGATAATGAAAGGGAAGTCCATTTACACCACTGAACGGAGCAAGTTTTTGTGCTAGAGACTGAAGATGATCCTGGGGAATGGAGAAGTAGGGCAAAAACTTGATTGCTTCAAGGAGTTTGATAGGTTTAGAAGTTTTGTAGGTTTTGTGGGACTTGAGCTAATTTTCAAAGAAGTCCTTTCCACCTCTGTGTTCCTTTGTGCCCTAGATCTTAGTAAAAGCAACCATGTTTCTCTTTGTGGGGGCCTGTCTTTTTTGTTTTGCTTCAAGAGATTCCTATCTCCTAGAAGGCTGTAAGTTATTAGAGACATAGGAACATATAGTGTGCTTCAATGAATTTGAAAGCAGAGTATATAAAATATCTTTGTGTAGAAAGACCTTTGAGTGAAGTTGTATTGCAGAATGGAATGTTTTTTATCTGCTGAATTATCAGCTTAGAGTAGACTTCAGCTGCACCCTTTTTCAGCGAACAGGAAGAGATCTATGAAATATTTTCAAGTGCCAAGCAAGGTCGGTAGCCAATGATACACTAAAAATAAGTAGTATGTCTTTCCCAAACATAATTATCTAAAATATGGCCTGGATTCAGAGAGCAGACACCTGATGACTGCAATTACTTAGCACTTGACCGTAAGTGTGGAGCTTTTTTCCAGGAGAAAGCTTCAGAGTTTGAGAGAAGTGAAAATGTGGCATTTATGTGATAAGAGGCAGCTGGGGGTAGTTCCTTCTGACTTGTCCCCTTGTCTTACACCAGAATTTCAGAATGGTGAAAAGCCTCCCATCTCTAGCAGAAAAAAAGGCATGTCTTTCTCAAGTGCCACCTTGGATTCTTGTGCTCCCAGGGTTTTCAGCTCCTCCTCAGACTGCCTGGAAGTACTTGTGTGGCTGCTTGCTTTGTTTCAGACCACCAGCTCTTTATCTACTTGATCTTTGGAATCAATCCTCTGCCAATAATCAATTTTTCCATTCTACTTTGGATTCCACAGTAGGTTGTTGAAAGTGAAACATTTGGAGCAAAGAGTTTTGGGATAAATGAATGGCCATTTCATACTAAATCAAATCAAGGTATATTGCAAGAATGGAGAAAATAATAATAAAAAAAAAAACCCAAACAACCCTCTTCATTCCTGCCCAGGTGGATCAAATATGTGGCTTGTTTTCAACTTTTCCTGGGGAAATATGTCCTTTGATAAGGGTAGGTGTGTGTCTCTTACAAGACAGCTTTATGTTACTCAGGGCAAATGGTATGACATTGTGCATCAAAAATGAGCTCAAGCAGGAATATCAGAGGTCCCAAATGCTTTAGATGAATTACCCTTGGAGAGCAGCCATTACCCTTTCCGCACGTCACGGGTGTTGATGTACAGAGGTTTAACCCAGCATTCTTCTGTCAGGTCATCAATATATGACATTGAATCTGCATCAAAGCTGGATACAGAGTGAAGTTTTCTTAAAATCAATGTTAAAAAAAAAAGCCACTAAACCATATTTCTTTGAGACAAGAGCAATGAAAAAACACCCTTTGCTGCGTAAGGGTCCTGTCTTCTCCGTGTTTTGTGTCATATCAATCTCAGCTTTTGCTATTTCATTAAAATTCCCAAGCAGTCAGAAGGTTGTTGTTTAATAGATTTAGCATTGGCTGGCTACATCAATACTGTGTTTAGTCACATTTGTTTTACTGGGGACATCTGTGGGAAGAGTTTAGCAAATATATTCACTCATTTGAAAGGAACCTGGTGCACTTTGGGCCTTGACTGTGCGGTGGTCTCGTGTACCTGAGTGTTTGCTTCAGCTGAAGCACTGCCAGAAGTTGCCTCTGTCTGAAGTGTCTCTGTAGACCCAAATATCTAATGCACAAAGAATTCTAGCTTTACTTCCAACTGATAATTTCCTTTGCATGGTCCTCTATGGAGAAGGGCCTGTGATATAGAATAGATGAAATGTTCTGTGAAAATACTGGTATTTTGTCTTTCTGAGTTGATTCAGAACAGGGAAATGCCCCAAATACTAGTGATTCCCATGGGATGAAAATCCTGACTTTTTTTGAGAGGTTTTCTGATGGTGACCTTGGAAAGTGAAGCATGTTAGTGTGGGATAGGAACAACTGTCCTCGTGTTAATCACAAGGTTGTGGGCACTCTTGGTTGGCGATTTTGCCCCAGTATGTTGTGTGCTGTTGAGAAGCTTTCAGAGAATGCAGGAATTAGTGTTCACTGTGGATATAAACATAATCAATAAATGAATAATATTGATTTTATCTCTTTAAGGACCTCACCAGGAGATATTTTCACATTTAATTTGAGTATTCCTTTCCTTCCTAGATGTAAACATTAATAGCAAAGGTAACTTCTTTTAGATGCAACTATCGGGGAACTTCATTGAATGAAAGCTGTGTGAGATCAGAGATGTGCAAGAGCTGTTGGGGTGACAGAGGAAATCTGATCTTTCTGACATTTAGTTTCATCCAAGGACCCCAGCTCCAGCTGCAACATTTGTTCACCTTTTCCACAGCTGGAGAGAGCATTTAAGCAGTCTTTGTGAACTGAAGAAAAGAAGCCAGAGAGGAGAAAGAAATAGATCCACAATGAAATTAATATGACTGGCTGTCTCTCAAAATTGAGGGAGATGTTGAACAGAATCTGAACTCTGGCCCAAGAACAGCATGCAGTGAAAATGTAGAGTATTAAAAGCTATTTTAGATGTTTTCTTCTGGGCACAGTTGAGACATGCCACCAATCTAATCTCCGTGCAGTCATGGGTGTTAGAATTACCCTGCACCTTTTGCTGAACCACACTGGCTTAGCACTTTGCCAAAACTGTAAGAGATATTTTTCTTTGACTTTTTTTGCAGAGTTTTTTCTTTTTATCCAAATGAAAATGCAATGGAGAGATGCCATTTCATACCTAGCTGGTTTTTTTTTTTCTCCTGTGCTTTTTTACTGTGCAGAAGGTCAAAAGCTAGGATATCTGTAGGACTGTTTAGTCTTAGCCTAAGTTATAATGGCACATCTTTTACCAGACAAGTCAAACACTTAAAATTAAAGATGCCAAATGAAGCTGCCTGTAAATCTGGATTTGCACTGCACTTTCTGCCCTGTTCAGTTTTACAGTAGCAGTGATGATAATACTGACAGCATTAAAAAAATTTCTCAAGCAACAAACAACCCCCATTTTCAAAGACAGAGATGGAAATTATTGCTGATTTGAAAGTTACTGTATGAACACACTGCAGCCCAACCCAAAGTGTGTGATTTAGTTCCAGCTCTTAATAGGCTTTTTCACCAAAGTCAGAAGCACTTTTTGAGTGCTGAATACCATGATATTGGACTGGTACCTTCTCAGTAGTCACAGCATTTCTTTTCCTTTTTCTATCATTTTAGCAGCTTGTGACATTTTTTTCCTTGTTGGTTGGGGTCCTGAAAGATGGAAGCAAGAAGTATATCCCAAGGAATATAAAGAGAACTTCCCATTAGTTGGTGTTCCCAAGGTAATAGGACAAAATGTTATTAGAAATGTGTGAAATACATGGAAACTCTGCCTCCAAATTAAAAAAAAATAAAATACAGAGAATCCACAATTATGTTATTATGATACATATTGAGCACCCACATATCTGCAGACACATTGGGAGAAACTCACCTTCTGTTGCAGAAGAGTCCATGAGTCAAAGATCAGTCTAAACCTGCTGCTTGTGGAATCCTGTTGGATCAAAGAGATAACATCTCTACCTGTGCCTCTACCATCAGTAAATCCATCTTTCAGTTCATTTGGGTGAATGAATAGTCTTTAATTTCCAAACAAAGTTTGATTCATTTTCATTCAGTAGGGGTTTGTTTGTTTGTGTGTGTGTGTGTGTTTGGGTTTTTTGTTTGTTTGTTTGGGTTTTTTTTGTTCTTGTTTGAGAAGAGAGGAAACTTAAAACGGCAGAATCCTTTATGATGGGCTAACAATAGTGGATGTGACAGTTGGCCTGAGGACCTTGTGGTGCCAGCCCTTTTGCCCCAAAGAGAGGCTCACACTTCAGCAGTTCTTCTGTTTTGGGGCTGCAGGTTATCTCAACCTGCTGGCCTCCAAAGTAGTTTTTTGCCTGTCCCTTTCTTGGGAGCTGCAGCATCCTTTGTTGCCAACTCCAACCTCACATGTATTCTCTTGCAGTGAAAACAAAGGTGCTTAATGATCATTTTAGTGCAGTGCCTATTATTGTGATTATTTCTTGTTATTAAATAAATTCTGCATATGCCTGCATAACTCCTAGCATCCTGTTAAGCAAAGCTTTGGATGAAGACATTGTAAGACCTGGAAGTCCTTGTTGGTCAGCACTGGGGTTACAAAGTTGACCCTTGTGAGACCCCCCTTGCCTTTCAACTGTTAGCCAGAAATCTACCTTGATGAGTTGCTGGTACAGAAAGGGTGGAGCAGCATTGGAAAGGAAAATGACCTTTCCCTTGTCTCATAAAATCACTTGGTTCCCATTATGCTTCCCCCTCCCCACATTCATTTCTGCCATGGTTTATACGAGTGCCTCTTCTAAATGCCAAAGCAGCAATAGCCGTTTTAAATATGGTTGCAATTTCATGCCCCCAAATTTCCTCCGTTATCTTTAATCTTTGATCATTACAGTCCCTGAATGTAGCTTTTTGGTAAGCTGCAGTTTTTTATGTTACTGCTGTTTAGAATTAACTGGTCTGCTTCCTAAAAAGCCAAATGTTTAATCAATACATATCCTACTGTGTATAATAAATACATTTCTGCCATCACTTTTTGAAGAGAGAATGCTTTTGATTTGAGCCAAATAGTTTACAAAATGGTGAGGGAGGTTTTTTTCCTTGGTGTTTTTGCTGGTTTTTGTGTTATGTTTTATTTGTTTGTTGTTTGTTTTAAAATAGATGTTTAATGCAATAGGACCAACCAATGGATTAGAACCTCGAAATGGTATTGAAATTCAAGGGTGCAGTGGGGGGAGAAATCTTTTACACAGATTAGTTAATTTTGAACATTTGTTACATTAGTATTCATTCCACTTAAGCTGATTAATTTCTTTGGATTGTGTTTTTTTCCTGGGTAATAATTTGACAACCTTTGCAATAAGCTTGAGCATTAGAAAGTGGGTTAGTGTACTCGAGTGTGCAATAGGTAGGTAAGTTGTTGTTTGTGACTCTTTTCCTGAACTTTGGAAGAAAAATCCCATTTTAAACCTGTAATAACAGAAGCTGATTACTTCCCATCAACTCACTGGCTTCCAGGGCAGAATTTTCAGACTGGTTATTGCATGTGCTGCTCTACTATAAAGTACAAGGTCTGTAAATTAAAGTTGGACCATAAGAGATTTAATCTGCAATTTTATAGCTCTCTAATCTAACAATCATTTTGTATTTCAGGCTCCAAGTATAATATCAGGGTTTTGGGAGAGGTGTGGTGTTAGGTTTTTTTTTTTTTTTTGAGTGGTTTTTTTTGCTTTTCATTTTTTTTTTTTTTTTTGAGTGGTTTTTTTTGCTTTTCATTTTTTTTTTTTTTTTTGAGTGGTTTTTTTTGCTTTTCATTTTTTTTTTTTTTTTTGAGTGGTTTTTTTTGCTTTTCATTTTTTTTTTTTTTTTTGAGTGGTTTTTTTTGCTTTTCATTTTTTTTTTTTTTTTTGAGTGGTTTTTTTTGCTTTTCATTTTTTTTTTTTTTTTTGAGTGGTTTTTTTTGCTTTTCATTTTTTTTTTTTTTTTTGAGTGGTTTTTTTTGCTTTTCATTTTTTTTTTTTTTTTTGAGTGGTTTTTTTTGCTTTTCATTTTTTTTTTTTTTTTTGAGTGGTTTTTTTTGCTTTTCATTTTTTTTTTTTTTTTTGAGTTGGTTTCTTTGTGCTTTCAATTTATTTATTTATTTACTTGTTTGTAGTGTCTTTAAATGGTACTGTGAATTACAGCTGGGAAAATATTGATGCTTTTTCTTCCTCTCCAAACTGTAGATTAGAAATGGTAAACAAAGTTGTTACACACTGAAGAATAAAGACTTGGAACATGCTTCAAAAGGAGTAATTTACTTGGAGCTGGATGTCCTATTTAATCCTGTAAGTTGAAATATTTTCTCTTATCACTGGTGTAAGAAATGTGTGAATCTACAAGGCCGGGGATGTGGGGTGATCCTGTAAAAGCAGGACCCAAGCAGGAAGGGTCCTGACCTGGTTACATCTGGTGGTGTAGGGGTGTTTCATGCCACGGGTGAAGAACTGTTGGGCCTTCATAGCTCTGTGACAGCTGATCCAGGTGGATGGGACAATACTGGGGCATTTTTGGACTGCCAAGTGATCAGAGATGCCTGAGGAAGGAGGTGTCTATTACTGTATGCCACAGCTTCTTTTGCAACAGCCAAAAAAAAAAGGCTTAATGTTTAGATTATTATACATTACTTTTAACACATACTTTCTCCCCAAAAAGCTGACCCACGATGTTCTCTTCCCAGGGTGTTGACAGGAAAATTAATGAGGCATGTACACGCTGCACTTAGTTTTTAAGTGGCTGAGTCAGTCTCAATTGTTTATGCCCTACAGCCTTTTACCAAGTTAAATCCTATTTATTAAGGCCATCATGGGCTGCACTGCAGCCCTGCTCTAGCTGAAGTGAGTCCAGCCTTGCCCAATTAAACTCATCCACGTTTTTCCTGGCAACTCCTTCTATGTCGCATAGAGGCTGACATGAGTTGAAAGATCCTGAAGTTTGTAATCAACACTAATAATCCAAAGGTGAAATCACGAACTTAAAACTTTGAATCATATTTTTTTTTTAATATTATGTTGTGTTTTTTTCAGGTAAAAGCAAGTATTAGAACATTCAAGCCCCGGGAAAAGCGCTTTACTGAGGAGAACCGCAAATTTTCTAAAAAGGTGAAGATTGTTTCTCTTGCATCTGTTTTGGAGAGATTTGAATTCCTGTAGCAGGGTTGCAAAAGCAAAACCTATTCATGCAGGAGATGCTGAACACATGTACATTCTGCCTATTTCTGTATACAGCAAAAGGTTTATTTGTGTTAACACAGAATTGCTTTCTCATCTAGTCTGCATCAGTAGTTCTGCTTTGTGCTTCAGAGAGGGGAAGATGTGAGCTGTGGATGCTGCAGGGTTTGCAGCACCTAAAGCTTAACAAGAGCCTTAGTCCCTTCCTTGGGAAAAAAGCAACCAGGTCGAAATGCGTTATTTTAAAAGTCCACAGGATTTTAAAACAATGGCCATTGCCCTTTTCTAAAATAAAGATGCTCTTTAGCAAGGCTAAAATTCCCTATTTATTACTATGGACTAGTCCAAAACATGTACAGAAAGTGGTTCAGTGTTTTGATTACATTATCTCTGGCCCTTTTCCTGAGAAATTGCTGTATTTTGAGAATTGAAGGGAAATGAAGGTAGGTTTGTGTTACCCTTTTATTTAGTTTTGGCATCAAGATGTCTTTTTTTCTTTTCTTCCCCCTTTTTTTTTTATTCCTTCTTTTTCTAAGAGATAAGGAAAATCTGGAAGGCTTGTGTGTAATCAGAAAGCAGACAGGAGCTGGAGTGTGTCCCTGAAATAGAGGCTTTACTTGTAATATGTGCCCTGGCATGCATTTGTAGTTTAAATTATCCCAGTTTCTGAAGCAATGGTAGGATATTAAAGTGTTTGATTAAACTCCTCTTCTCCTCCCCTCCTCCCACTCAATATTTATCAGATCTTATCAAGAAATGTTGATCGTGTGAAAAAAATCTCCATGGCAATATGGAATACAATACAATTCCTTCGGAGCTGCTTTCTCTGGGAGTCCACAGTAAAGAGCATGATAGCCTTTGTGGTAAGTGGATTTCTTCTTTCATTGCATGAGGCAAAGTGATAAAAGATCTTGAGTGTTACCCTGCCTTCCTTGCCAGCAGCAGAAAGCCCTTTGTCACTTGCTGTTACTGGTATTTTGTAGCTGCGTGGCTGCAGGTTGAAGGCAGCCTGGGCCACACTGGGCCTGATGGGGATGGAAATCAGCCCTTCAGGAATAGCTTTTTGGTGCAAAGGCACCACGGATGCCCATGTCCATGGTGGGTGGCACCATCCTGTAGAGGCTCTGACTGTGCGCTGACTCTGGATGGTTCTTTTCTTTTTAGAATGTGGCTCCTGGCTGGTAGGAAAGCAGGGAGGTGGTGGCAGGAAGGAGATGCAGGGGGGTGCCTTTGATCCGGGTGATGCAGTGAGCAGATGAGTCTTGTCCCTTCCAGCTTCCACTGCCATGAGGTGGCACTTTGCTGCAGGTTATCAGTGCCTGCTGTGGCACCCACACAACTCTGCTGATGTGGTCTGTTGCAAATCTATTCTCTTGGCCATAATAAGACATTGCTTTTCAATAAGAAGAGAAAGGAAAAGACCTATCAGCGAGTTCTGCTGGGCTCTGCAAACAAAAAGCCAAGATCTTCACCTGCCTGTCCCACTTCTCAGCTCTCTCCTTTTTCCTCTTGGTAGTAAACACCCCATTTGCAGTTTTCTCATGATCCACTCAAGCACAAAAAGGTTTTCCTGCTTTTTATTCTGTAGTGTGACATTTTCTTTGTGCTTGAAATGTTTGACATGCCATTAAAGGTTGCAAAATTGTTTTGTGGTGGTCCAGCATGCAGAAAGTAAGTTTCTGAGTTGAGTGTTTATTAAGCATTATAACAGCCACATCTCCAAGATTTTCTCCGGCTTTTACTGTCTGTGAATTAGAAGTTTCTTAAAGGTTCTTTCGAGGAAAACACTTTAGTCTATTTACTAGAGATGAGTAAAGTGGACCATTCCTCACTGAGAGAAGCTCCAGAGCAATGACTGAGTCTTTCACCCTGCAGGTCAGAGGGATGACTGGTATGTAAGAGTAGGTAGGATTAGAGGGTCATTTCTCTGTACTTTTTTTCCCCTGTTGCTTGGAGGTCATTTAGATCATATTTAAAGTTAACAATTCAAGAGCTGGTGGAGAGCAGAGCAGCTGGTGCAAGAGAGCTCTATGGTTGTGCATAAGAGAATTGGATGGTCATGTCAATGTGGCTTGGAAAGGGAGGAAAGTGTGTAAAATCACAGTGACAATGTCCTACAGCAAGAATCTAAGCACGTACTAAAGATTTTTGCTCTTAAGAGATTTTGCACCAAATTATTTGTGAAGTTATGACTGTGAAGTTCAGTTTTCTAGACTTTCTAGACTAGGAAAAATTTGGAAGTGAACAGGAAGAAAAAGAGGGTGGAACAACAGGCCTGTAGACCCTGTAGACCTTTCCAGTGAAAAGGAGGATGAGCAGGTTACAAGTTACAGATTATGAACATCCTTACTGGAGACCATAATACTTCTCATTTCCTGAACACAAGTGGGTAATGGGAAAGGCATAAAAATACATGACTCAAAGAATAATTACAGCAGGCTTCTTCCACAGACCAAAATTTCAGTCTGTCTGATTTTTCCCACGTGGTAATAATTCAGCTCTGACACTTAACATGAAGTTCTAATTATATATCTCTTTCACTATTTCTAGCATGTGTGTTCGTAGTATTGAAAATACTCAGCAGGGGAAGTGCAGCATCCCTCCCAGCCCCAATCTGTATGTAATATCCACTCTTTAACAGGTTAAATAAAAGGTGTGCTGGATGTCACATTTTAAAAAATCATTGTTCCTCAGCAATGTACCTGTGGTATCTTTGTGTCAGCTTAGCCTGGACCAAATTTGTCTTTATTGACAACCTGCTTGGGGCTTAAACTGAACACCAGAGATGAGGAAGATGAACAAAGATTCTTAACCATTTTTCAGCTGGGTTTGTGAAACCACAGCTGGTAGAATAAGTGCCAACCAGGCCCTTCAACCACAAAATAACTTTTTTTTTTTTTTTTCCCCTGACAGTTGTCACCTCTTGGCAACCAGTAATAATCGTTGTGACCATATTCTACATATGCCACATACCTGTATTGTGATAATCCTAGAGACTGGGTGGTCCTTAGGACCCTCCTCCCCTGTTGTATTGCCCTTGGTTTTCCCTCTACAGGTAGCCCAGGCCCTTTCCTCCAAGGGGGAAGAGAGGGAGAGAGGAGGAAGACAAGCAGACAGTATAATCATGTGAAACTTGTTTTCTTAAGCAATCAGACAAAAACCACTGCCAGACTGAAGAAGATATTTGTGAGATCATCAGAGTGTGGCAGTAGGCGAGGATGCAGGATCTTACACCTTCCTGTTTTAGTCTTCATTACTGTGCACCACCCTCCCCATTAGTGCTGACAGCCTGCCTGTGTGACAAGGACATTAGCTGCTACCTCTGGGTGTACAAGAGTAAAAGAGGAACTGATGAAGAGGGAGAAAAGAGAGGACAACACTGGCAGGACACAAAGTGACTGAGAAAAATGCTATTGCCATGTTTTCTCATTTATAAGATACATCATCCAATGCTAAATTTCTCTATTAGTTTGCAATGGTGAAAGGAGACATTCCAAGAACAAATGAGTAGTTTAGGGCTTTTTTTGTGCTATATAAATGAAATTATATTTTTCATCAGCATTCTGCAATTTTAATCTGATGATCCTTAGGCAGAGTTAGATGTATAGGCACAGAGGACACTGATTAGACCTGCTCAGGCACAAGAAAAGTCAGATTTTTTTCAGGTTTAGAGGTTTTGGAAAAGAGGTTGAAAAGGAGTGAAATGCAAAATTTTACTTGCAGTGATGTTTTGTCCTGTGCATAAAGGGTTTGGTGCAAAGTGTGGTACACAAATTCTGGAAAAAACATTCTGGGTTGGAGGAAGGAGTCACATGTAGGTTTTCTGGGTTCCTCAGAATGTACATTTCATTATTGTTCTGGTGTTGAAAATGAACACACGTGTTTGTGTGTGCCTGGGAATATCAGGAATATTCTCACATGTGGAAAAAGTTGCATGTAGAGTTACTAGTATTCATGTGTCAGGAGAGATTTTAGAAGACTGATACGTATTTTGGGGGGTCCATAATTTCAGGATTTGGGGGGATTTGTAGATTTTTAAGACCAAAGAGTACTTCAGAAATTCTAAGCTGTATTTTTTATTTTATTTTTATCTCCGTATTCAATCCAAATGTTGTGTCTTGACTGAAACATGCCTCTCAAAAAGGGCTTTATTTTGAAGACTCCCAGGGACATACTCTAGTCCATCCTTCTGTGGTTCTCCCGTGTCTGACACCATCCATCTCCTACCCTGGACAATTTGCTCCCAGTTTCCAGGGTGTGTATTCTGTTCTTTAATCTGGTCCTCATCTCTCTTGTCACACCTTTCTCCACTGAGACATCACTTCCACTCTTACCTTTCAGATGCACTTTTAAACTGAATTCCTGGTGCTTCCTCCCACATGCAAACACTTCCTGCCTTCTCTGCTCCCCTGCTTCCCTGGTCATGGAAGCTAAATCCGTAATAACTGAATAATTCTCACTGTACAATATGTATTTTTAAAATATTTTAAAAGTTAATTTTAGTCACAGAATGATTTTCATGAGGAATTATGCATCATTGCACATTGTGCTTGTGATTTTATACAACATAATTACACCTTCTATTGACATTTTTCTCTGCATTAATGGTAATTATGTCATTTAATGAAATTACAGTAATTGCATTAAAAAAACCTATAATCTGCTGCAAATTAAGAGGATACATTGACTGGAATTTTTACTATCATATGTCTTTTTTTAAAGTTTGCATGATAGTTGCAAGAGACATTGACAGGTTCAGGCACATGATGGGAAAGGAGCCACCGTAGCACCTCTGGGGTGAGTGGCAGCGCTCACTGCTGATTTGCTTCAGGGTCCCTGCACACTCACCCATGCCAGCATAATTCATTTTTACTGGCAGCATGTCCCACTATATCAGGTTTAGGCTTCTTGCTAATCAAGGCTGCTGCCAGGGTGGGTACAGGTGGGAGCTATTTTTCAGGCTCAGCCCTGGCTGGCAGCCTGGGCCAGCCAGACAAGGAAAGCAGCACGCAGAGGAAGTGTTTGTTTTGTAGTGACATTGCAGGGTATCTGCTAATTATTTTATAATGGGTTAGGACTGGGAGGAAAGGAAGGGGAATGTGTGGTGATGCAGTGTAATGTGGGGTTTCTGGTCAAATTGACTGCAGGTATTTCATGGTGGGCATCTGGGAAAATGACAGGAATAATTCTGGAGCAGTTGCGGCTTCCCAAAAAGCCAGCTGCTGCCTGAGTAGGGAAGCCCTGGAGGTTATGGATGCCCAGCAGAGCTCCTAGGGGTTATGGATGCAGCAGGAAACACAAACTTAATTTTATGAGCTCCTTGCTGTAGATTTTTTTTGCACTCTTCTCCACTGAGATCTCCAAAGCTGCAGGATGCCCTGTTTTGTGGTGCTGGCCTCTTGGTCTGTGGGAGCTGCAAGCCTGAGGAGTCACAGAGCAAGCTGGGTGAGTTGAATTACTGTGCCAATTCACTTCAGTCTAATCTGGGGTAGCAGCAGAGAGAGTTTAAACTCTGCAGCACATGAACTTCTGGACATCTCTGCTGAGTGTGCCATTTCACACACTGCCACTTAAGCTTGCAATACAGCAGCTGGATCTGAGCCTGGTTAAACTCATCTCATAGAGGAGACACCAACCATCTCATTAGGCATGAACAATTTTTGATCCCTCTTGAGCTGAGCTATATTTATACTGATGACCTACAAGCTAATGCCCATTAGCTTGTTGACACTGTCCTCTAAAACTGCTTATTGTCTATCAGTAAGAGAGAAATGTTCTTTTCCCTCAGGAAGGATGTTTGTTAACTCAAAATCTATGCTTCCTGGAGTTTACTTGGGATAAATCTCTCATTCTGCAGGAGGAC